GGATTATATGCAGGGCCGGCCTTAGGGCTGTGCGGCCACACAGGGCGCCATGGACCAGGGGGCGCCATGCAGCCGACACAGCTCGCACATGGCCGGGTGTCAGGTGCTAAAACAGGTACCCTGGTGGAGGATTAATTATTCTGTGTGACTGCCTGCCTGTGTGCGTGTTTGACTCCAATTGTGTGTGTCGCTGTAGCTGTGCCATTGTGTGTGCCTGTATCTGTGACTGCCTTTAACTGAGTGTGTGTGTGTGTGTGTGTGCGCGCATGCCTGTGACCGAGTGTATGACTGCCTGCTTGTAATGGAGTATGTGTGACTGTCTGCTTGTGCCTGTGTGCCTGTGACTGTCTGCCTGTAACTGTGTGTGTGTGTGTGACTGTTTGCTTGTAACTGTTTGTGTGACTGTCTGACTGTGCCTGTGTGTGTGACTGTATACAAGCAACTTGGGCAGGGGCGGGGGGGCGCTGTGAAGACTTTTTGCACAGGGCTCCGCATTGCCTAAAGCCATCCCTGATTATTTGACTCTTCAATTCCTGCCTACAGGAATACCTTCAAGCACTATTGCCTGCACACCCTAATTGGCCTGCTTTGACTGTGCCGCACTGATTGGCCTGCTTTGTCTGTGCCCATTGATTGGCCTGCTTTGTCTGTGCCCATTGATTTGGCTTGCGCTGTCTGTGCCACCAAGGCCTGAACACCAAGCCTAACTGCTACATGCTCACGCTTGAGCCTGGCATGCGCTGCCCGACTTGCCTCTGCCAATTGTGACACTCCTCCTCTATACTCCCTGGTGTCTCATTGCCTAGGGCTTCCTCTCTATCGAGCCCTCTAACCAGGCAGAAAATTAGCAGGCAATGATTAATACGGCAGTGGCCGTGGAAAAGGCTTTGGCTAGGACCCTCCCTCAAACTCTACCAGAGTGGAGCACTAGAGGGACCCCTCAAACGGCAGACTGAGTCAGACTCTTCTAGATGAGAGCAGGCAAGTGTGCAGAAGTGCTACTGGAAGGGTGAAGGCCCTGAACCCCGCTCCCGGAAGGGTAAGGCTCCGGCGAAGTGTCAAGGCCCGATGCTGTCTGCCTCGCTTGCCAGACGCCGACGACTATATGGTGCAGGGTGGTAGGTCTCCAAGCCCCTCCCACTCATGGCCGCCCTAGCTGAATGGCAGGCGGCCAGTCCCCTCGGATGGAGAGGACGATTGGGGTGAGTACTACGATGACGACCCCTAGTGGCACCATGAGACGGAGGAGATGTCTGCGCCAGAGGCGACACAGAGTGTAGTGGACGATGACGTCTTCCTGGATGCCTCAGACGAAAAACCCCTGTTCAACCCTCGGTCCATTCGGCACCTAGGCCTTCGGAATGGTCTCTACCCAACCACCTGGCACAATTCGTGTGCTATGGGGTCTGCAGGCTGTTGGATTGGGAAGTCCACATGAAACTTCGGGCAGAATGCCCCAGGCCGGTGCTCTCGGACAAGGTGGCCATGACCCCAAAGATTGGAAACCTGGTCGCCAAGTACATGACGCACTCAGGACGGGACCCTAAGAAAAGGGTCGAGCACAGCCTCCATCTGGCCCAGGACAAAATAATGGTCCTGCTGGGCCCTCTATCCAGGATACTCATACTTTGCGTACGAGGCCTGTTCAGAAGGTGCTGCCCTAGACTCAGCTTCCATACGGGACTGGGCCCTGCGCTCCTTTTGCCTGCTGGGCAATAAGACGTTTGCTCTCTGCACAGAATGCAGAAAGGCTGCCCTTCTTCACATGGATAACAAGTTGTCTGAATTAGGGTCGAAGGTATTGGCTAAGGGTATTTTCTTCGGAGAACCCTTCATAAAGGTGCTTCATAAGCATGTGACTCAGTTCACCTCGTTGGACAAAGCCCAGACCTCCATGATGAGGGTCTTTCGCCCACTGAACCATCCTTCTTTCCATCCTACCATTCCCGGTCCTTCTACTCCCAGAGATCAGACAGAGGTGGAGGAAGTCGAATCAGAGGACGTGCAATACTATCTTCAGGTGAGAGCAGCTCCTTCCATTTCTCCTTCCCCCTGTTACATTCGGGCAGACTGTTTCACTGCAGGGACGAGTGGCGGGAGGTGCCCTCCGCCACGTGAGTACTTCGGTCTGCTCTGGGATATGTCATGGATTTTCATCCCTCACTGGCTCCAGCCTACTTAAGGGTGCTACAGTCCCTGATAGATACTGAGATTTCAGCCCTGTTCGACAAGGGCGCGGTCCTGTGGACTCTGGACACGCATGACTTCTTTAGCTCGATTTTTCTGGTATGGTCAAAGTCTAGGGATTTTAACCCATTGATCAACCTGAGAAGCTTTACCGCCTTCGTGGTGTACTATCATTTCAAGATGGAGGGCATCCATCTCCTACGGGAAAGCAATAAAGTGAATAGGTGAGAGCAAACACACAAAATGGTAAAATAGTACCACTTTACAATCTTGAATGGTAAATGGTAGCTGTCAGATATCTAGAGAGATGAGTGTCTGGTAATTCTCATTTGAGCCCTGTAAAGCTTCTTCTCTTCTTGATTTAGACAGTCCCACTCCTTCACAGAGAAGCAAATGGCCACTTCCTCAAACTCAAACTCTTCCCAGAGAGCAGATGGTCTGGTAGTTCTCATTAGATGCCTGTACAGCTTCTTGTATTCTTGATTTAAACAGACCCGCTCGTCATCGGAGAAGTAAACGGCCACTTCCTCAAACTCAAATTGTTCCTGCCTGGAGACAAAGTCAATTCAGTGAGCACTCACACTCCGCTGTGTTGTTTGGGTGACAAAACACCGGTGATTGTAGCAACACTGTTTTATTGTTTTTTGTATTGGTTTTTATTCAATTACTGTTTTTTACTTTTGTATCCATCTCCTGCGGGGCCTCCTCTGGCCAGGAGATGAGTTCGCAAGACTGCATCGGTGAGACGCCTACCTCTCTGTCCCGGTGGACAATGAGTGCCGAAGATTTATCCGGTTCCTCAGGAAGGACCGACCTTGCCAGTTCACCTGTTTCATTACAGGGCCATGCAGTGCCTGAAGGCTTGTTTTCTACTCAAGAGACCCTCCTACGTCCAAGCGATTCCCCTCACTATGGACGTGAAGACTGAACTGTGCTGGTGGCTCCTTCTCATGCGGTGCTAGACTCAGACACAAGTCTTGTGGTTGGTGATCCACCTGCGCGACCAGTTCCACGGGGGGACCATGGTCAGAGATGGACTCGGAGTTCCATATCAACTGCCTGGAACTGCTTGCGGGATTGTTCACGATTCAGTCTGGCGAGTCACCTTTATGATTGCTGCAACCCCCTGGACTATGTCTCGGTGGTGCAATGCATCAACCGCCTGGGAGGAGCCCGCTTTCGGATCCTCTTGAAGGTGTCGTAGGAGATTTACTGCTTCTGCTTCCAATGCAACATCACCCTCCAGGAGGGGTATCTGTCAGGGGTGTTGTACCTGACGACGGATTGGTTCTCCAGTCATTGGAGGGAAGCCGGCAGTTAAAGGATCTTTGGTCCCATCTTCCTTGAGATCACTGATCAGAGGGGTCCGTTCACGGTGGACCTTTTCGCCTCCCGGGCTAATTATCAGGTCCCGACCTGCTTCAGCTGGCTCACGGATCCAGCTTGCTCAGCTGTGGACGCTTCCCTTCAAGTGTGATCGTCATTGTTACGAAAGCTCCTCTATCTGCTGCAAGAAAATCGCTTTCTGCACCATCGCTAATATTGACACTACAATGGATACTTTGACTTGTTATTTCTCTCTGGATACCTTTTATACTTTGGTATACAAATGATCATCTTTAACCATTCGTGCCCACGAACAGCCGACCACGCAGCCCTTGGCGTGTGCCGCCACTTAACCCAAGTCACCTCTGAAATCACTGAAAGACCTGACGAATGATCGACCACCACATGAGCGGAGTGTGCCCCTGATGAACCTCTGTGAAGCTGCGGTTTTGTGGTTAACTGCAGCCTAATTGACTAGCCTCAGGGTGGCCCCATTTGGATACAATTAATCGAATGAAGCACGAACCAAAATAACGAAAGTACTGCCGAACAACGACCACCTACCATGTGGTTTCTGCGGTTAACCGCAAATCAAGTACCTCTTTCAAGGTGGTCGCTGTTCATATGCCGAACACGAGGCGGCGGCCATCTTTTGTTGTCAAATACATAGCGGGACCTAAGCCTCAAACTCCTGGAACTAGAATCAGCCAAAGGTTTGCACGAATCCCGCCACGGGGTCATATGCTCCATCCGTTCGTGCCAAAACCTGCGAACTGACTTTTTATTTTGTGACTTTCATAAATTGTTCGGGAGATCTGAGCATAATTTGTATATCTTGTTTGCTCAGATCTGAGCTATCCAGAGACTGGTTGAATGGGTTGAATTTTTGTGTTATTTTCATGTGGTTATAAAATATGGTATTTCTAGGCGCTTGGAGATAATTAGGTTAATGTAACCGTTGAAACTAGTTATCTTCAAGCTAGGCAGGGACATTTTCAAATGATACACTGTAATGCCATTGATTGGGACATTGCATTGTCCAGTATCCCATCAGGTCCAGAGAGGGTTGTCCCTGGACCTGATAAACTGTATAAATTGTCATGCCTGAATGCCAGTAAATCGTGTTACCCTCAAATCGCAGCCTCGACTCATTTTGTAGGGAATAGTGTGTCTTGCTGTGCTATAGCTAGTGAGATTATTCGACACTTTTAGGAGACTTTTGTGTATGCTGATCGGAGTGGCGCTCTCTCTCTCTCCAACATCGGGAACCAGGATATCCAAGCGGTCCAACTTCCAGCTAGCCCGGAGGTAACAGTAACATTTGGTGGCAGCGGTGGGACGTCCTGGAATTCCTAGGAGAGGTACAGAGCGGATGGAGAACGCTTGTGATAAATTAAAATGCACCACCCTAAAGGATTTTAGTGGAAGGTCGAGGTGGGAACGCGAGCAATCGACCTAGGAGGGAGCTAATTGCAGAATTGACCGAGATGGATCAAAGCTTCACCATGGCAGATGCTCCAACGACAACTGGTGATGAAAAGACCAGGATAGTTTGTGAGAGACTCGCATTCTTCAGGCCAAATCCCTCTATAGAACTGGTACAGCAAACGATAGCCCAAGTGAAGGCCGAGATGCAAGAAGCCAGAGCTAAGCGACAGGCAAACCGAGAGCACGAGCTCAACCTGCTCAGAGCACAGCAAGCTCCCGCAGCAACTCCGACCATCATCTCGGCAGAACCGACCGGGAGGCGAAAGATTCCCCACGCAACTTTCCGACCTTTCCTGGAGAATGAAATGGGGAAAGATGAATTTGTAGCAGACTTTGAGCGGCAGTGTGCGCTTCATCAAATCCCCAGAGAGGATTGGCCCACTATATTGTCCGGGAAGCTGTCAGGGCGTATATTAGATGCCTTTCGGACACTATCCCCAGAGGAGGTGACCCAATATACACGGGTCAAGGACGTTTTATTACAGCGGTACGCTGTGACCCCAGACCCCAGGCAGTTTTGAAATCCAAAGAAAAAGCCAAACGACACCCATACCGAATTGGCTCATAGGATGCGAAGGGCGGCTACCCACTGGATCCAAGGGTGCTAAGCAGTACCCGGGAAGGAGATACTTCAATTGTTGCTGTTAGAAAATTTTTATAATGGCATGGACCAACAAGGGAGAGAGTGCCTCCGAGATCGCCGACCCACTACACTGAACAAGGCGGCCGAGTTAGCCGATGAACACTACGATTCACTATTACACGAATCGTCCACTTACCAACTGGCGGTCCGAGCCGAAACCAGGGAAAACTACCGAACGTTGGCTAGGAACAATTTCAGGGCTCCGGTGCCAGCGGGACCCACCAGGTACTCAGGACCACCCAACAACAACATAACAGACTGCCCCAGACCAACCTGTTTTCGATGGAAACAACCTGGGCATCTCATGGCAAGCTGTCCTCTCAATAATCACCAGACCTCCCAGAGTTATAACTCGTCTTCTGGTCCCACTCGACCTGCCCACGCTCTCTGTGTCAACCAGAAGGGTCCCGTGGAGGAATATTTGGGACCCCTCCATGAGGCAGACCGGTATATGCCGCCTCCGACACCCGCCAACACCATAGGTAAAAGGTATGGCTCGAGGGTCACTCCACAGAGGGGCTAAGGGACACTGGCAATACAATTACACTGGTTCAAAGTCACTTGGTTCCGGAGCACAAGTGATCAGGACAGACTGTGGCCATTCGAGTGGCAGGAGGGGACATGTATAAAATACCCACCGCTAAGCTACATCTGGATTGGGGAGCGGGGAAAGGGACTGTGAACTAGGGCATAATGGATAATCTGCCTGCCGAAGTATTACTGGGCAACTATTTGGGCCCCATGACTTCTGCCTATGCGCCCTCCTACAACTTCGATGCCCACCCTGTGACTACCCGGGCATAAGCCAGGACTCAACCAGACCCTTCACCAGTGCGGGAGATGCAGGTAAGACTCACCCCGACATTGACTGCCCCCTTAAGCCCCATACCCTGGGACACCCCAGCCACCTTTGAGACCAAGTCTAGGTCTGACCCAACCCTACAGAAGTATAGGGAGAAAGCAGAGACTGGGGGTGGGGGATTAGATAACAAAACTTTTATATGGGAATGAGGGAAACTGTACCGCTTGACCGAAAAGAAGGGACACCGTAGGCGACAACTAGTTATTATTCATAAGTACAGATGAGAGATGCTTAGAGTGGGACACGATATTCCCCTAGCTGGCCACCTGGCAGTGACTCGCACCCTAAACCGCATCACTCACACATTTTTATGGCCTGGGGTACACTCGGATGTATGAACCAATTATAACACCTGTGATGTATGCCAACGGGTAGGGAGGAGACGTGGTCACCCTAGGGCACACTTGGTGAATATGCCCATTATAGAGGAGCCAATCAGCCGGGTCGCTATAGACTTAGGGGGGCCACTGGTAAGCGCTATATTCTTACTGTAGTGGACTACGCCACTCGTTCATGCAGACACCGTGGCTTATGCATTAGTGCAGGTGTTCTCTCGGTTAGGATTTCCCAAAGAGATCCTATCCGACAGAGGCACTGAGTTCACCGCTGAGTTGACACAGCAGCTGTGGCATGTCTGAAAAATAAAATCTCTCCTTAGCTCCCCCAACCACCCCCAGACCAATGGGCTCTGTGAGAGGTACAACAGAATCCTCAAACAGATGCTCAAAACTTTTACCCAGGAGTATAGGGATTAAGAACGTTTCCTACTGCACCTCCTGTTTGCTTACCAGGAGGTGCCTCAGGAAACGACAGGGTTCTCTCCCTTCAAGCTGCTCTATGGACGCAAGGTACAGGGCCCCCTGAATCTGATCCGAGAACACTGGGAGGGAGAAGCTGAGAATGCTGGAGTCCACATTGTGCCATATGTGCTAGAACATCAGGACCGAATGGAGCAACTAGCCAGATCAGTTCAGGCTAACCTCCAGTCGGCCCAGAAGAGACAGAAAGTGTGGTATGACTGGGGGTCTCGAAGGAGAAACTTTGCCATAGGACAGAAGTTGATGGTACTTAAGCCGGTTAAGGCAGATAAGCTACAAGTGTCCTGGCAAGGTCCTTACCAAGTAGTAGAGAAGAAGGGGGATACCACATATGTTATAGCTAGCTGACACGACAAGAGCCTCTGGAAAATCTTCCACGTCAAAATGCTCAAAGAATACCTAGAGAGACAGGAAGACGTGGCAGCTATCTGTATTCCGGTCCATGAAGACCCTGACAGTTTACCTATCCCTGACTTACTAGAAAAGAACCACCACCCCGACCTAGTGACACAGGTCCAGATAAGGGAAAGACTTAATCAGATCGAGAGGGAGCAATTAAACCAGCTACTCCAAGCCAAACGCTCCACTTTTTCTCAGGATCCCGGGTACACTGACCTAACCACCCACCAGGTAGATACCCCAGGACAGCAACCCCTTAGACAAGCTCCCTACAGAATCCCCAAAGCAGTTCGGGCCGGAATGAACAAAGAGATAGATGAGATGCTCCGATTAGGGGTTATTGAGTCTTCTGATAGTCCCTGGGCGTCCCCAGTAGTTTTGGTACCCAAGAAGGATGGTACTACCCGTTTGTGTGTGGACTCAATTAAACTCAATGATAAGACAGTGACAGACGCCTATCCTATGCCCAGAATAGACGAGCTATTTGATCGTATCGCCCGGGGAAACTACCTAACTACCATTGACCTCTGTAAATGTTACTGGCAATTTCCCCTGGCTAGGGAGGCTATCCCCAAGTCGGCATTTGTCACCCCGTTCGGCCTGTACCACTTTAAAGTCATGCCGTTCGGGATGAAGAATGCCCCAGCTACATTCCAGCGCTTGGTAGATAAACTCCTTGATGTCTTCCAGGGGTTTGCCTGCGCATACCTGGATGACATAGCGATTCACAGTGAGTCCTGGGAGGAACACTTAGCTCATGTGGGAATGTTCCTGGATCAGACTCGGGCCATAGGCCTGACCCTGAAGCCAGAAAAATGCCATTTTGGAATGGCTGAGGTTCAGTACCTGGGTCACCGGGTGGGGTGTAGAAAGCAGCGACCCAAGCCTGCTAAGATCAAAGTGGGCGCCAATTGGCCCACCCCCCACACTAAGACCCAGGTTCTAGCCTTCCTGGGCACCACAGGGTACTACAGGCGATTCGTGCCTGACTACAGCACTTTCACCAAACCGCTGACTGACTTAACTAAGAAAAACCTTCCCCAACAGGTCCTGTGGTCTCCCCACTGTGAAGCTGCGTTTCAGGCTCTCAAAACTGCACTTATTAATGCTCCTGTCTTGGCTGCCCCAGCCCCTAACAAACATTTTATCGTGTTCGGGCTGGGAGCAGTCCTCAGCCAAGTAGAAGAAGATGGAGGGGAGCACCCGATTGCCTACATCAGCCGAAAGCTCCTGCCACGTGAGGTCAGCTATGCCGCCGTGGAAAAGGAGTGCCTGGCTCTGGTGTGGGCTCTGAAAAAACTGACTCCCTACCTATACGGACAAGAGTTTACTCTGGTTACAGACCATGACCCATTGGTGTGGTTAAACCGGGTCTCCAGAGATAATGGCAGACTATTGCGCTGGAGCTTATCTTTACAATCATTTAACTTTACCATCACATACAGATGCCGGGAAACAGAATGGCAATGCCGATGGTTTATCCCGACAAACAGACCTGAGGTCTGGACAGGTCTGGACAGCCTTAGTCTGCCCCGAAAAGGGGTCAGACAGTGTCTGCCAGAGTGTCCCACATAGAGGGAGCCATGTTACGAAAGCTCCTCTATCTGCTGCAAGAACATCGCTTTCTGCACCATCGTTAATATTGACACTACAATGGATACTTTGACTTGTTATTTCTCTCTGGATACCTTTTATACTTTGGGATATGAATGATCATGTTTAACCATTCGTGGCCACGAACAGCTGACCACCCAGCCCTTGGCGTGTGCCGCCACTTAACCCCAGTCACCTCTGAAATTGCAGAAAGACCGGACAAATGATCGACCACCCCACGAGCGGAGTGTGCCCCTGATTAACCTCTGTGAAGCTGCAGTTTTGTGGTTAACCGCAGCCTAATTGACTAGCCTCAGGGTGGCCCTGTTCGGATACAATTAATCGAATGAAGTACGAACCAAAATAACGAAAGGACTGCCGAACAACGACCACATACAATCTGGAGTGTGGACCCAATTAACATGTGGTTTCTGCGGTTAACCGCAAGTCAAGTACCCCTTTCAAGATGGTCGCCGTTCATATGCCGAACACGAGGCGGCGGCCATCTTTTGTTGTCGAATACATAGCAGGACCTAAGCCTCAAAATCCTGGAACTAGAATAGTCCAAAGGTTTGCACGAATTACGCCACGGGGTCAGTTGCTCCATCCGTTCGTGCCAAAACCTGCGAGCAGACTTTTTATTTCGTGGCTTTCAGAAATCGTTCATGAGATCTGAGTGTAATTTGTATATCTTGTGCTCTCAGATCTGAGCTATCCAGAGACTGGTTGAATGGGCTATGGTCATATTATCCCCAAAAGTTATGCATTTTTTGTGTTATTTTCGTATGGGTATAAAATATGGTATTTCTAGGCGCTTGGAGATAATTAGGTTGAAACTAGTTATCTCCAAGCTAGGCGGGGACATTTTCAAATGATACTCTGTAATGCCATTG